CATCTTCGCAGTGATTTTTTATGTAGTTTACTCAATTTGATTTAAAATGTAACATTTTTTCTTTCAAACTAAGCAACAGTAAAATATAGTAAAATGAAACATTAAATAACAAAAATTAAATTTTTAATTTTTTCAAAAAAGGAAAAGAATTTTCCGCTTTATAGAAATATGTTATATGAGATCCTGAACAATTTTCCTTATGGATGTATTTGTGGATCTCTTTTTTGTAAACACGTTAACATTAATAGGTTTTAATAGATTTTGATAAAATTTAATATGCTAATTTATCACATTAATATTTTCACATTGATACATCGATTTAAAAAAAAACAAAAAAAATTTACCGTCTTTTTTCCAAAAATTTGTTTTTAATAGCAAAATTGAAGCAAATTTGTATTTGCTTTGAGGGCTTTCTTTACCGTCCGCGCGTTTGAACATGTTCGTGTTCCCCAGGGATAATTATTCATTTCTGTGTCTTCAGTCGGATAACATTGACAGATAATGCAAGAGTTGATTTTTCCATTTTTTTTTATAAATGTGACCTGGACAGTTAAAAGGGACCTTTTGTCCGAAAAAATCGATTTTTTATTGATTGGTGTTTCTGATAAAGAAAACTTTTTTCTATCAGAATCACCAATCAATAAAAAATTAATTTTTTCGGACAAAAGGTCCCTTTTAACTGTCCAGGTCACAAATTATGTTGTAATTTTTAATTATATACTATATTAATGGTACAATAACAGGGTCTAATGTTGTCTAACAACTGCTAGAAAAAAAATTCCCTGACTTTTTACTGACTTTTCCCTGACCTAAATTACACTAAAAAATTTTTAGTTTGATACAATTAAATAATTTATCTGTCTATTATCCACTAATTTCATATGTATTTGAACCAAATAAATAATGTTCCGTAAAAATTAAAATATTTGAGTGAAATAAATAAACCAATTGGGGACGTATAAATATTCTCAACATTTAATTTAAAAGAATTTTTACGGAATCAAATTTTTATTTAGTAGCATTATATAAAGCAGATTTTCTAGTACATCGAATTTCAAATTAAGGGGGTAGTCTCGTGTTTCGATGCTTTTTAGGAGCTTATTTCAGGATTTTTTTTATTATAAAATAAAATATAATCACACCAAATCTTTTTACTTCGTTTTATTGTAATCATGAAGTGTTGAAAAAAATTATAATCGATTATTTTTTACTAGATTTTGTTATTTATATTTAATATTAATGTTTATAACAAAAAAATTCTGGCGCAGATGATTTACAAAAATCTATTCGACCGATTGCTCCAATTTTTTTACAGCTTATTCTACACAAGCATGGCTCTGTCCCGTACTAGAATAAAACATTTTTGTTAATAAATAACAAAATAGCGGACTATATAAGCAAACAGATTCAAAAATTGTCTCTTTTTTATTGACAAAAAGTTAAAAATAAAAAAAGTTATCATTAAAATTGCGTAATTCTAGTACGGGCCACAGCCATACTTGTGTAAAATAAGCTAAAAAAAAATTGGAGCAATCGGTAGAACAGATTTTTGTAAATCACCTGCGCCAGCATTTTTTTGATATAAACATTAATATTAAATATAAATAACAATGTCTAGTAAAAAATATTCGATTATAATTTTTTTCAACACCTCAAAAGGAGAATAAAACGATGTAAAAAGATTTGGTGTGATTATATTTTATTTTATAATAAAAATAAATTCTGAAATAAGCTCCTAAAAAACGGCCTAAACACCAGACTACCCCCTTAATATAATTTCAGTTTAAGGGCATCCGGGAGAAAATAATGGTTTTGTAGATTTCTTCTCATTTGAAAAAAATAGAATATTTTAGGTTGTAATTTTTTGGAAATAATAGAGGAAGGTACCCTGCCATGGGCTCTTCTCGGAATTTAGCATAATCTTGATAAATAATTATTGAAAAAAATGTTTAAACATTGGCAGAAAGGGGTTTCGTAAATTTCTTCTCATCTTTAAAGGATAAAGAATTTCGAGTTGGCATTTGGAGGAATAATAGAGGAAGGGTCACTGAGTGGGGATCTTCTTCATTTTTGCAATAATATTGTGAGGAAATTATTTTATTAAAGATTTAAAGTGGAGTAATTTGGGGTAAGTTAGTTCAGCAGCGGCCACTAGCTAGAATTGGCGACACCTTCTGGGCCACTGACACATAGATTCAATGTCTGTCCCCCACTTCTGTCAAAAATACAACTTTTATAACCACGATTTTCAATACTTTTTTACACAATTACTTGTAAAAATGGAGATGATTCTTAATCAGCTCGGCCTTATCTACACTCAGAAAAAAATTCGTTTGAAGCAACCAAATTTTGGTTAAATCAACAAAATAAATGCATTGATATACAGTTTAAAACATAATTAAACAAATTTTGTTTGAACTAACCAAAAAATTGGGTAAATGAGTCGCCGGAAAGTAAAACCACACATAAAATCCTGACTCCCATTGAATTAACATGGCCGTCAGAATTTTATGTGTGGTTTTACTTTCCGGCGACTCAAATATAAAAAAATGGTACATTTGGTTCAAACATATCTTTTTTCTGAGTGTAATTAATCCGACAAATCCGAATAAAATAATTCAAGTTATTTACGAGAAATATCTCGCGCGGGAAAGCACTTTTAGGTTAGGGATTTTTCCCGGATGGCCTTAACGGAATTTATGTCAAGAACAATTGCATAAAGAAAAATTTTTTTTAAACAAAATTGTTATTTTAGTAAATTTTGATTTATAAAAATATTTACTTATCAGAATTGTCATTCAATAAATCCACAATTAACAGAATTTCTCTTTAACAAAGTTTTTATTAAAGAAAATTTTAATTAAAACCAATTCTTATTTAACAGAATTCTCATTTAAGAAAAATTCTACTTAGTTTTTTTTTTGTCACTTTGTATAGTCAAAACTTTCGTTAAATTGATATTATATTAATTAAAAATTTTAAAAAAGTATTAGAAAAAATGCTTTATAAGAGTTCTGCTAAATAGAAATTCTTTTAAATCGAATTTTAGTTAAATATAAATTCTTCGGTATGAAAATTTTGCATATTAATATAAAATCCACTTTATACAATTTTGATGAATAGAAATTCGATAATTTAAGATTCGACGCAGTAAAAATTTTTATAAGTTAAATGTGGGTATTAACATTAAATATAATAAATTATTCGTATTAATGAATAATTTACTTTATTTGAAGTTGAACCGATAAAATAAAATTTTATCAAATAATTTTTATCTATGGGGTAAAATTTCTGTAGCGTAATAAATGAAAAAAAAGTGATCGAATCGGGCTGTAACTTGCAAATAGCCCTAGGGGTGAGTATTTTAAACAAGAAGTATTGTTAGGTTTTTCAAAAATTGCAGGAGAGGGAGAGGGTTGAATTTTTTTGAAAAATTTAAACAGTGATTCAAAAATATTTTTGACTTTTTTTTAAGTTCGGTCTTTTTGCTTCCTCGTGGAGGAAGCTTTGTAGTTCTTTGGTTTATAAAACTTTTCAAAGTGGCGGAAACAAATTTTTATCTATATAGAAACATGTTATATGAGATTCTGATCAATTGTCCGGATGTATGTGTGTGTGTGGATCCCTTTTTTGTTTAGAAGATAACTTTAACAGGTTTTAATGGATTTAAATAAAATTTGGTAGGCTCATTTATCATATTAATATCTCAAATCTGACCAAAGGATTTTGAAAAATACCCCAAAAAAAATTTTATCGTCTTTTTTCCAAAATTTTTTTTTTAATCGAAAAATTTTTTAAATAGACAAATTTAAGGTTATATATAATAAAATCGTATTCCTTACGTCAAGACGAATCGATCGATATATATAAAGTATACATTTGAGGTAAATTTAAAGAATTAATGAAAGTTAAAAAATCAATAATTCACATTTTGGCAATAAAATTTTGCATTCTCCACGAGGAAGCAAATTTTTTTGCTGATCGCAAAGAGGAAGCAAAATGTGCATGTAATGAACATCTGAATTTACAACTTGTTTTAATTAATTTTCGCCAAAAAAACTAACTTTTTCCTAAATCAAAATGTTAAATTCGACTTTAAAAAAAAATTTATTCATACAGAAGGCACTAATGTACGATTAAAGAAAAAATTTGGTGCTATGAGTTTAAAAAATATATGTATTTTTTACTCACAACACACACTCGTTAAACTAATAAGGAGTGAATTTCTTGGGAGGATAAACAAAATAAAAAACTCCAAATTTAATTTTTAACTCAACATTTAATTTAAATATTCCTATTCGTCAGAACGGTCAACAGCAGACTCGTTATAACGAAGTTTTGGTGGGTTTTTATAAGGGTACAATATTTGAAAAAGTGGTGGGATGAAAAGAGATAGAATTTAACTAAACGAAGAGAGACATAGAATTTATGAATTCTAAAGGTTTGAAAGATGTGTCCTTCTAATATCTATTTTACAACTTAATCCCGGTGGCAAGAAGTACCTTAAGTTTATTGCTGAACGAGGTACAGATTTGTTTTCTTCTATCTTTATGAGGGAAACTAAGATGTATTTTTAAGGATTAACAACAATCTTGTTTATTAAAAACTTCAGTTACCAAACATCTGCTGACAATATTGTCATGCAATTGTAAATGTGAAAGTTTTACAGTACCTTTTTTTCATTTTGAAAGAATGAATTTGAAAATTACATTTTATACTTTTATAAATTATATATATATCTATAAAGATTAAACATCCCGCCCGCCTTGAACAAGCATGTTCAATCAATTTATTTATTGTTTGTGTCAATTTATCTCTAAAACATTATTTTACCGTAGATTACATGATTATATTTTATGAATATATACGATAGTGTGGTATAATATTTATAAATGTTATAATATTATTAAAAGTGTGTTTGAATCACTATAATTGTACATGTTTAAATAATATTAAATAATTGTGGCGATAATGTTCATTAAAAGGTTCACTTGAAAATATTATTCAATTGGTAATGGTGCCACTAACTTTACACTTCGATCATACACTCCTGTCTTTGTTTTCACGGTAACGACACGAACTATACCATCGCTACCTGGATGCACCTTTGTAATTCGACCGAGGGTCCAAGAGAGTGGAGGGAGATTATCCTCCTTGAGAATGACCATTGTACCAATTTTTATATTTTCTGACTTTTGTAATTGCCATTTAGAACGTACAATTAATTCGTGTAGATATTCTTTGGACCATCTCTTCCAAAGATGTTGTTTGATGAATTGGATGTGCTGCCATGATGATAATCGATTTTGCTGAATGTGGCTCAGATCTTGATTTGGAAGGGTCGTAAGCAAATCTCCTATAAGGAAGTGTGATGGAGAAAGAGCATTTAAATCTTTAGGATCTGAGGATAAAGGAGTGATTGGTCTTGAGTTTAAAATTGCTTCGATTTCAGTTACATATGTGTATAACTCTTCATAAGAGAACAAGGTATTGCCAACTGTTCTATGAAAATGATATTTAAATGACTTAACAGCTGCTTCCCACAAACCACCAAAATGTGGTGATCTTGGGGGAGAAAAATGCCATTGAATGCCTTGATTGGACAATGAGTCTGTCAATTTCTGATTAAAAGAATTTGAATTTATAAATTCGTGCAATGATTTTAATTCGCGATTCGCACCCACAAAGTTAGTTGCATTATCCGAATACAAATTTAAACATTTTCCTCTTCTTGCAAAAAATCGTCGTAAACTCGCAAGAAACGCATCTGTTGTCAAATCTGTAACTAATTCAAGGTGACAAGCCTTCGTAACAAAACAGACAAAAATTGCTGCATAAACCTTTACTTTTCCCCGATTTCTAAATTTTTTCTCCTTTATAAAAAATGGTCCACAATAATCAACACCAGTGTTTAGAAATGGACGAGCTTGAATGACTCGATCCCGTGGTAAATTTTCCATAATGTAAGGATATTCGTTAGGCTTTGCTCGAAAACATTTGATACAACGTTTTAAAATTTTTCGCGTTGTAGATTTACCTGATAGTGGCCAAAAATTCGATCGAACTGCGTGTAGTGTTGCTTGAGTACCTGCATGTAACTGTTCTTTATGTGTGTTTTCAATAATTAATTCTGTCACATAATGGTTTTTCGGCAAAATAATAGGATGTTTTTCATCATAAGAGATAGTTGCATTACATAATCGACCCCCTACTCTTAATAGTCCATCATTATCAAGAAATGGATTCAAAGCCTTGAGATTACTTGATTGTGAAATTGATTCTGATTTAGACAATGAATTGATTTCTTCTGAAAAACTTTGTATTTGTGTTAAATTAATTATTACTTTCAATGCTTGATTTAACTCTACGATTTTTAATGGGCCGATTTGTTTTGTTTTTCTTTTTGAGCTATTGTTTGCAAATCGAAAACAGTAAGAGACTACGCGTTTTAATTTATTTATTGTCGAAAATTTGTTTAAAATTTGTGTGCAAAAATCTTTGTCTGTAGTAACCTTTAATGTGATCGTTGATTTTAATTCTGTTAAAGGAACTTTCTCGAATTGTGATAAAGGCCAATTATTCTTTTCCTCCTTTAACCATTTGGGACCAGTTTTCCACATATCATTTAGTAAAAATTCTTGAGGAAATTGACCCCTTGACAATGAATCTGCAGGATTATCTTTTGACGATACGTGTCTCCACGACGCCTCCATTGTGTTAGCCCTGATTTCTGATACTCTATTCGCAACGAATGTTTTTAACAGGTAGGGTTGAGTCTGTATCCATTGTAACGTTATAGTTGAATCTGACCATAAATAAACGTTTTGAATTTCTTTACACAGTGCAACGCGAACACATTTTAATAAACGTGACAATAATAATGCTGCGCATAATTCTAATTTTGGTAACGAAATTGATTTTAAAGGCGCAACGCGATTTTTAGAGCATAATAAATTAGTCATAACTTTATTTTTATCGTTAATTGACCGAATATAAATGCATGCCCCATAGGCCCTTTCGGATGCATCACAAAATCCATGAATTTCTGTTTGAATGGCATTTTTAACAATAACTTTTCTATTAAATTCGACTGAGTTTAACAAATTTAATTGTGATTTAATATTATGCCACCTTGTATGAATATCAATAGGAACAGACTCGTCCCAGCCAATTTCGGCCTTCCATAAACATTGCATTAACAACTTAGTCGTTACTATAATAGGACCTAGTAAGCCGATTGGATCATAAATTTTTGCAATGTTAGACAATATTTTTCTTTTAGTAAGCTTTGATTCGTCATAATTTATCACCTTATATTTTAAAACGTCTTGTAATGTGGCCCATTTAATCCCTAATGTTCCCTGAGTTTCCGTCTTTGAGAATAGATCGACGCTGACCGTACCTTCAGGTAAAGATTCTAACAGTTTGGGTTCATTTGACGCCCATTTTCTTAAATTCAAGCCAGCACTTTGCGTAACAGTAATTAAATTGTCACGCAAATTTAAAGCTTCGTTTATTGTATCAGCACCTGTTATTCCGTCATCAACATAAAAATCGCGTTTTAAAATATTCGAAACTTTCGGAAATTCTGATTTTATATCATCGGCTAATTGAAAAAGTGTGCGGATTGCTAAATATGGAGCGGATGCTGTTCCGTACGTTACGGTTTTTGCCCTGTAAATTTTAATAGTTTCGTTTTGATTTTCACGGTATAACAATTGTTGGTAAGGTGTATCGTGTTCATCGACTAAGATTTGTCTATACATTTTTTCTATATCTGTAGTTAACGCATATTGATGTGTTCGAAATCTAAGAATAATAGAAAAAATGTCTTGTTGTAATGTTGGACCCACCTTTAAACAATTGTTTAACGATATTCCCGTAGATGTTTTTGCAGAAGCGTCAAAAACAACCCTTAATTTTGTGGTTTCGCTTGATTCTTTGAGAATCGGGTGATTTGGCATAAAATAACCCTCTGTTTTTGCCGATTCAGGCATTTCTGACATATGCCCTAAATCTATATATTCGTGCATAAATTTATCATACTCGATTTTCATATCCGGATTCTGAGCGAGTTTACGTTCTAATGTTTCAAAACGACGTTTTGCTATTTGATAAGAATCACCTAACATGGACCTTTTTTCATTAAATGGTAAACGAACAATAAATTTTCCAGTTATTGAATCTCTACGTGTAGTTTCGTTATAAAAGCTTTCTACCTGCATTTCTTCTTCAGATAAAAATCTTTCGTCTTTAACGTACCGATTTTTCCTGAAATGATTCACCCTAATTTAGTTTTTGTGATTTTAGCCCTGTGCCCGCCTAATTGAATTTGCCCTACGCACAATAACTCATAAAACATTTCTACACCGAGTAAAGCATCAATTTCCCGTGGTTTATTAAACTCAGGATCTGCAAGTTTTATATTATTCGGGATATTCACATTTTGTTTATCTATGAATTGATCAGGTAAATAATCGCAAATACGAGGAATAATTAAGAATTCTAAATCTGCATTGTAATTTGATTGTTTAGAAAAGATTGTGGTGTTTAGTGATTCTTTAATTCGAGTTTGTAGTTGATTAAGTCCCTCAACAGGTAAATTTATTTGTTTAAAAGGTAACCCCAACGAATCCGCGAATCTCTTTGCCATAAAATTAGATTGAGATCCGTTATCTAAAATTATTCGCGCTTGCCTTTTTTCACCCCTTTTATTTTTAATATCAATTAAAGCAGTTGATAGTAAAATTTGACTTGGAATAATCGCGTTATGTACTTTTACAGAGCTTGAATTTTCTCCATTATTTGTGTTTTCTGTTTTGTTAGTTTCTTGACGTTGATTTGAGTGTGATTCATTTTTATCGTAGTGTAATAATGTATTGTGTTTCATGCCGCATTTTTTACACCCTTGCCATTTACATTCGTCATTTTTGTGTCCTTTATTTAAACAATTAAAGCAAGAGATATTTGACTTAATTATCTCAACTCTTTCAGGAACCGATAATTTTCGAAATTTTTCGCACGCGTAAATTTTGTGGGAGCCCTGACATACAATGCAATCACTTGAGTTAGTTGTAGTAAACGCTTGTCGTTTGCTGTGTGCATTTGATTTTTTAGAATTATTTGAATGATTTGAATTGTAATTTGTTTGAGTATTTAAAATAGTTGCTTGTAGAATGTGGCACCGATTTTCTAAAAAAGTCATAAATGTGTCCATTTTGGGCATTGTTGTACCTAATAACGATTTTTCCCATTCCTTATGCGATATTCTATCAATTTTCAACGTAATTAAGTATATTACAATCGTGTCCCAGTGCTCTACACTTTCTCCTAATGCCTTTAATGCCCTTAAATGCGTTTGAATTTGATCTAATAATTTCCGCAGTTCTGAAGCCGATTCCTTGGCCATACTGGGCAATTCCACGAATGCCTTTAAATGGTTTTGAATTATTACCCGCCGATTATCAAATCTAGTTTTCAATAATTCCCACGCAATCGAGTAATTTTCTGCTGATGTCTCTAATGAATTAATAACCGAAGCCGCCTCATCTTTTAAACATGACCGCAAATAAAGCAACTTTTGAATATCTGAGAGTTTGGTATTATTGTGTACCATTGATTTAAAGGAATCATGAAATTCTAACCATTTATCAAATGCCCCGTTAAATGATGCCAATTAAATTGTAGGAAGACGAACGTTATTTTGATCTAAATGTCTATTTGGATTTGAAGACATGTCACTTTGATTAGAAATTTGAGTTTCTTGTGGGGTGGAAACTGTACCATAAAGTAATTCGTACATTCGACTTGTTTCTTTAAAGTATAACGTTTCAAATTCTTCTAAATCAGTACTTGGCTCATTAGTCAATGCGTCAATTTTATTTTGTATTATTTCGAAATCAAATAAAATTTTTTCAATACTATTATATCTTACTTTAATTTGAGCTAAATTTTCATGATTATTTTCATCATTCAAAAAATTTGAGATTCTTGTAAGACGACCCTTTAACATACCCCTGTCTCTTTTTAAGACCACAAGTTCATCACTTGCATTAGTCATCTTAGAATTGTTTTACACTATGTAACTTTTTTATCACAAAGAGAATTGGATTAAGGTAAAAAGGAAGGAGATTTGATTACTTACAAATGATGATTCAATCCTTGACTGCTTACTTGTATTCCTTGATTATTTATTGCTTATTGAATGTCTGTTTGAGTTCTGAATGTGAGTTGCTTATTCAGAGCGTTGAATCTGCATCCGTTCTGACTGTATTCACTTTAACTTTGAGTCATTTGATGATATTCATTTCAATATATTTCACAAAAAACACTTAGTTTGCTGAATTTGTTTACTGAAGCGAATCTATTTTTGCGAGTTAAGTTTGATTAATTGTCACTTTAACGAATCTGTTTATTTAAATATGCACAACTTGTATTAATTCCACTGAATTGTCACTCGCGAATTTAAGCTTCACTATCACATACTTTTCTTCATTGAATAGGTGATATTTATATATAGCATCACAAACAGATTATATTTGTGTCTGAAGTATAGAGTTGATTTATCTGGAGTAACGTTGGTTATCCGGCTCGAAGGACCATGTTAAATATCGTATTGGTGCTATGAGTTTAAAAAATATATGTATTTTTTACTCACAACACACACTCGTTAAACTAATAAGGAGTGAATTTCTTGGGAGGATAAACAAAATAAAAAACTCCAAATTTAATTTTTAACTCAACATTTAATTTAAATATTCCTATTCGTCAGAACGGTCAACAGCAGACTCGTTATAACGAAGTTTTGGTGGGTTTTTATAAGGGTACAATATTTGAAAAAGTGGTGGGATGAAAAGAGATAGAATTTAACTAAACGAAGAGAGACATAGAATTTATGAATTCTAAAGGTTTGAAAGATGTGTCCTTCTAATATCTATTTTACAACTTAATCCCGGTGGCAAGAAGTACCTTAAGTTTATTGCTGAACGAGGTACAGATTTGTTTTCTTCTATCTTTATGAGGGAAACTAAGATGTATTTTTAAGGATTAACAACAATCTTGTTTATTAAAAACTTCAGTTACCAAACATCTGCTGACAATATTGTCATGCAATTGTAAATGTGAAAGTTTTACAGTACCTTTTTTTCATTTTGAAAGAATGAATTTGAAAATTACATTTTATACTTTTATAAATTATATATATATCTATAAAGATTAAACATTGTTTTTGATAAAAATTGTGGACCCTACATTGGACGAAATGAAAAAATTTCAGCAGCGAGTATATGACGTTTATTTTATTATTAAATTTTATTTTTTTCAATAAAACAATTATATTTCGAAGGTGTAAATATATAAGAAAACAAGCACAAAAACTCGTATCAAGTTATTTCAATGCGTTTGAGAAAAAATTCCTGAAATTTACACATTTTTTGACTTTCTATAAAGTAGATTTGTAGTTTAGATAACAAAATAAATATAAAATTAAATAAATTAAATAAATATATTATATGATATATATATATTAAATGATAAATATATTTTTTTTTTTTTGAAATATATGTTTCTTCTTCTCAGTAATTGTTGCACTTAACCTAAGTAAAATTATTATTCAGATAAAAATGCATAAATAATTATTATATGTATTAATAAAAAATAAAATTACTAAATAATTAAGGACACCTTATTCAATTAATTAATACCTATTTTATATTGTAATAAATAATCAACTAAACTGATTAAAAACTGTCGAAATTATAAGATTTTAAACAAAAGATGAGCAAAAACATAATTTTTCCCTAATTCTTAAAGTATCTGTAAAACATGTTTTGCACATTAAAAAAAATACGTGATTCTTTTATTTTTCAAGCATAGAAACATATTTTGTCGCAATTTTAATTCTCAATATTTACCATCGGACTGTTTACATGATTTGAGATGTATCTAGTCTCAAATTAGCTTTAAAATAGTGTTTGATACTTCTATTAACAAGGATAAATGTAGCCTTTGTTAATTGAAACATCAAATTTTATTTCAAAGCTAATGTGATGTTCATTTACTTCACATAAAAGAACTATTTTTATTGATTATTGGATCGCATGGAAATTCCCCAATTAGACTCGCCGGAATTTTTATGGTGTCGAATTAAAAAATATCGAATTTACATTTTACAGAATTTTAAGGGGACTTTCTGTTTCAGAATTCCAAAAAAATCGATTTTTTTTGCTTGAAAATGTTCCTTAGTATCATAAAATTACTGTCCTAAAACTTTTTTTTTAAAAATATGTAAAAAAACAAAAGTTGTAATCAAAATTTGTTTCATAGTTCTGGCTCAATTTATTATGTTATGAAAACTTTAAATGCGTTTTTCTCGAAAACTCATTTTTCATACAGGTGCACGGCTTTTCTCGAAATCTACTAAACCGATTTTAAAAAACCAAAAACCATTCGATTCTTTAGTTTAAAAACTACAGAAAAAACCTTTGAAATTTCATATTTCTACCCTCTGTTTTTTTATACTGGGGTAAATTGCCTCAAAAACTCAGCGTTTTTTCGAATTTTTCACAAAAAATAAAAAAAAAAAAACCTTCTATAAAATAGTTTTTTAGTTTTATTGTCTATAATAAACCCTTACACGGAAAGAAAGTTTGTAGCAATATTTGATATTATGGTGTTACTTTTTAGTATATTTGGTTACAATTGCGGAACATTTTGGCATGATAACGATTTTCGATACTATTTTTAAGAATGATTGAGATTAAAATAAGAATATTTAATATAGTTGGAAAGAAAATTTGATATAATATTTACGAAATCTGAAATCTTTTTATTGAAACACAAAAATGTCAAATTTTAATAAGCTCTTTATCAATTTTTCTAACCAAATATTTCAAATTTCGTAATTAGAATTGTATAAAATGATATAATTATTTCAGATTTTGATATATTTGATATGAAAATTGAAAAAGAAATATCAAAGTTAACGAGATTCGACGAAATTTGCCGAAGTTGAACGTTCGGAATCGCCCGATCCTCACCGAGTGGTAACGAAGACTGACGAAGCTCTTTAGACAAGCCCCTTTTTACCATTATCTTGATACAGACCTGAATTTCTTTTATATAATTAATTTCGAAGATTTTACAATAAATGAGTAAAAAAAATTGTTCTTCAAAAAATAATAAAATATTTAATTATTTCCCAATAAATAATGATTTTTATTTATATTTTTAAACATGTTTTGATATAATTTCACCTTTCTCATAAGCGGTGAAAAATATGTCTGGTTAGTATATAAGAATGGTCACATCAGTTTTTCACATGAGCGTAAATTTGTATATGAAGCGTTATCCTGCGAATGTTATACGTATTATCGTTAGTATAGGTTAGGAATAAAAATAAGCCAATCGATGTAAAACAATGCGGTGTATGTGTGTGTGTGTGCATTTAAAAGTTCATATCCTCGTCTATCCTCGAGATGAGAAAGAGATAAAACTTTGGCAAAGAATCTATTGGTGTTTCTGTCGTCATCTGTCACGACTGAACCACTTCGAATTTTTAGTATAGTTTTAACAAATTTCGAAATAATCCTTCCAAATTTTCATATAAATTTAGTAAATAACGAAGTGCGCGTCGGTTTAACTTACTTCTGGTTTTTCGTATAAATTTATCAATTTACGAAATAATAATTTCAATTTCTGGAATATATTTACTAAAAAGACTATTGGTAAAAATACACCGATTTTCGTTATCAAACCCAAATGTTCCGCGTTTGAAAAAGAGAATACTAAAATTTCCTATCAGATTTATCAAATATTGCTACTAAATTTCTTTCCGTGTATGAAGAGATTCGCATTTGGAAATATATATTACAGGTTGTCCGCGATCACGTGCACCAAAAAAGGCACCTTTTAGAAGACGCCACCTACATCTAAGAAATTGAACTAAATAACTAAAAAAAAAATTTTAATTTTCTTTATGTAATGTGCAACAATTTCTAAAAAGAATTTTTGCAATTTACACTACCGTCGGAAATTGTACGACCTCTGCTTTTTCAACAACTATAAAACTGTCCAAATCTTCAAAAATCCCAGTAAAAAAAAAAGAATTAGGAGTAAGCGAAAAGAATTGGTGGTAACTTAAGCTGAATGCGGTTTGGCGAAAAAACCGAATTGGAACGTTACAGTGAATTATTTTTTTCTTACCGTGAATTCTTTTCTCTTAAACATTTGAATTGACGTTTGTTTATTCGAGATTGCATTATAAATGAAAAAGAATAAATGTTTCGAAGTCTAAAAAAGCCGATTTGGAATAAGAAATATATAATTTTTTAAAAAGAAATAAAAGTAAAATGTGATAGATTTACCGACAATTTTACCATGTGAGTACTACTCATATGGTAAATTTATCATATGAACACTACTCACTTGATAAAATTGTCGGTGAATCTGTCACACATCGCTTTCATTTATTTTTTTTAAATTATATATTTCTTATTCCAAATCGTCTTTTTTAGACTTCGAAGCATTTATTTTATTCATTTATAATGCAAACTCGAATAAACAAACGTCAATTCAAATGTTTAAGAGAAAAGAATTCACGGTAAGAAAAAAATAATTCACCGTAACGTTCCAATTCGGTTTTTTCGCCAAACCGAATTCAGCTTAAGTTACCACCAATTCTTATCGCTTACTCCCAATTCTTTTTTTTTACTGGGATATTAAAACTAAAATTTTTCCTCTTTATTTTATTAAAGCTAATAAAATTCTGAAAGAAATGACACCTTGACAAAGAGAATATGATAATTTTTCAATTATTTATCTAAGAAAAACCCAATTTTCAATGTTTTTACTATTTTTTTTATTTCTCTGACAAAAATTAATATTTTTAAACGTTCTTGGGCTCATTGAAATCGTAGTTTGTTGTGCAATTCAAATTATATAAAACAATTCATGTACATATTCTTCCCTAGCGTATGCAAACCGTGAAAGTTGTCTCATAAAAAGTCAAAAAATTATGATTAATATTTATATGACAAAAAATGATCAGTAAAATGTATAAAT